CGATTTCATTTATTATGAATTAATAATTAATTAATAAATTTAATTTACAAAAATCATAACCGTTGATTGACGAAAATCAACGGTTATGATATATGATTGTAAAAAATTGTAAAAAAAAAAAAGTTATAACTATAACCTCTCCGATATTTTTTATGAAATATAGTTTGGTTCGTACTATAAATATCTATATTATTATTGAAATAATATTTTTTTTTTTACATTCATAAATATTTAAACCTATTGTTGGTTCCGGACTAGCAGATCTTTTGAAGTCCGGACTAATGGTTGTTTCTTTTCCTCGTAAGATTATTATATAGTTTTTTTGAGCTTTTATCCCTCCTTGTAACCCCACCAAAAAAATTAATAGTCAAAATACTAATTGATTTTGGAGAAAAACGTTAGAATTACTGCTAGCAAATGAACCACAATTACATTTTGCAAATCATTAGTTAGATTTTTGTAAACCTTAAATTTTTATAAACTAGTTATAACTTTAGTGTCTTTATATATTTGTCAGAAGAAGTGTGTTTCTTCTTAAAAAAATAATAAGAAAAGAAGAGGAGATGGCCCCACGACAGCTCTTCCATGATGTTTCTTGTCGAGTCCTGATGGAGCGTATTTGGATTTTGTTGGGATCCACAATGATCTTTCCGTTGGCTTGTCTTTCAAAGCACCGAATGTCTGAACACTTTTTTAGTTTTTCGGAATATCTCTTTCCTTCGTAGGTGAGACTAGTTTCTTAGAACCCTTTCATACGTTAGGCTGTGGCTTCTTTCAATAATATTTTTATGGAAAAAATTGTATTATTTTAGAATTTATTTTATAGATACAAATAAATTGTGTTATTTTATAAATCTAAAATAGGACTTATATTTTTATTTTTTTTTGTCTTTATTTTTTTTAATAGTATCCATATATTTTTGTATCTATAAAATAACACAACTTATATTATTTAAAATAATACACTTTTTTTTCCCTATTTTCATATATAAGAATTTTTGAAATGAAATTAAAGGTTACGTACTTTAAAAATCCGTTATCATTCATTCAAAATAAGAAAATATAATGTTTGAACACTTAACAGCTAGGTTAAAAAAATTCATAATACTTCTACGCTTGAAGTACTTTTTCTTATTCAAGTGATAAGAAGCTTATCAGTAAATACGTTTTTAGTCCCTAACAAAAAAATAAGGTCTCTATTTTAGTTTTTTACAAAAATAAATTAGTCAGTTAGTCCCTAACAAACTCAAAGTGGATCTATTTAATTGAAATCGTAGTTCCTCACAAATTCAAAAAAGACCCATATTAGTCCCTCAAAAGGACTAAAATAGGTCCACCTTAAATTTGTTAGGAACTAACTAACTAATTTACTTTTATAAGGGACTAAAATAGAAATCGTATTTTTTGTTAGGGACTAAAAAAGTCTTTACTCGAAGTTTATTCTCTTTAACAAAGATTTTGAGTTAAAATTTTTGGAAATGCAAAAAAAGAGTCTTCAGAAAATCACCTCTTATAATGGATCAGTTAATGTTTGAACTGTGGCTGTGGCAAAAAAATATATATATATAATGGGTTTTAATTTTCTGTAACTGTTGCAAAAAAAAAAAAATATTGCAGATGCAAAAGTGGATCCCACTAATATAAAAAAAGAAGAAGAAAAAGAACGCGCTATACTATATATTACTAATAAGATATAATTTGTGGCAGAAAAATATTTTTGCCACAATTATAGAAATATTTTTCAATCTTGTTATAGATGAGAACGAAAGTTTAAGGGATTATGATTTAATTTTTTTTTTAAAAGATAGTTTCATCTAACTCATTTAAATAAAAAGTAAGTTAAGATTTTTTAAAACTTTATTTTTAATAGGTGAAACTAAAGGATGAATTAGTTTATATCTGTATACGAATAATTTCACTTCATATTCAACATGTAGACTTTATTAGATATGAAAATTCACATAATTTTCTTTTTTTGATAACCAATTCACATAAATTCTTATATGCAAGGAGAATTGATGATTGATACTAAGAAAGTGGTTAACTATATATATAGATTTAATATTTCTAAAATGAATGAGTAGATAAGTTATCTACATTCACTCTTAGGGTTGAAAAATTAAAAAATTATAATGAAAAAAACTATTATAACCCTTAAATAAATTATAATTATAAAAATACCTTAATTTTTGCCTCAAAACGACGTTGTTTTGGGCTCAATGTGTATAAGTTATCTACATTGACTGTAGAAAAAGCAAACCCTATATATATATATATATATATATATATATATATATATATATATATGAGTTTAATGTTTGTTATTTTAAATGACATAAGTTATGTCATTTTAGGAAAGAGATATATAGACACAAAAAATGAAAATTATGGGAGAGAAAATGAGTGATTTTTTTTAATTTAAATTTTTAATAAAAAATAATTTATTATATCTATCTCTCTCTTAAAATGACATAACTTTATGTCATTTAAAATGACAAACACTTTTTCCTATATATATATATCATAAATTTTTTATATTAATATAAATTATGCTTATAATCTTAGTTAGTTATGTGAGCAATAAAATATTAGTGGATGAACGATTAAAACTAGGTATGAGATTTGTTATTTTTACTACGTATAAGTTGATCATAGCATTTAAATACATATATATATTCGATTTATTTAAAAAATTTGACTTAATTTGTTGGCCTGGTGATCAATTTAGAAGTATATACCTACCCATTTAGAAATAGATTATGATAAACCAAATATATAAATTAAGGGGAATGATTTCTGAAGTTGTGACATAATTAATTTTTCTGCTATTTACACAAAATTTTCTCTTCTCTTTCATTTTTTTTTCTCTTTTATTTTTGTATCAGTGATAAAAGAAATGATTTCTGTTACAACTGCAAAAATTATTTCCCGATAAATTAATAGGCTCTTAAGCCAAATTAGACATTTTAAGAGTTTTGTCAATCATAAAAACAACCCTACATCAAGTAATTGGCCGTATTCAGACCTTATACTTAAAAAATGGCTATTTAGCCCTAAAACCAGACTTTATATTAAAAAAATAGGCCATACTTATTTAACTACAAAACCTGATATGGCCTAATTTTTATGAGTAAACATGTGGTTTATATTTTAAAAAAATTATAATAAATGTTTTTTCGTCATGAATGATAGAACTAACAAACTTATCTCGTGTACTTACTTTCAAGATTATTATTATTATTACTACGGTTAAGTGAGTTTTAACAATTATATTATGTTTGGGAAAGTTAATTTTTAATAATTTTTAAAAACATTTAAGATTACTTTTTAAATATACATGTGATTAATAATCATATTTCTTTTGAGTGGTTAAATTAATAAAACATTTAAAAACTATTTAAAATATATTCGATTTTAATTATTTATTTTGATAGTTATAATTATTAATTTAAGTCCAAACACTTAAGCGATTGATTTCTTAATGGGATAGATAAGTACATGCTTTTAATTTTGCCTCCATTGAAGAAAACATTTTCGAAAAAAATAAAGAAGGTTACCTCCTCTTACGTGATTTACGCTCCTAATTCTAAAATACCCAAGTTATCTTGACTAAATCTTAAGAACACACGTTGTCTATAAATCAATTTTCTAGCTTCCAAATCCAACACGTATGAACCACAAACACGTAAATGTCTTTATTTTTATTTTTCCTATATGTCATTTTGGGAAGTTGTTGATCCGTTACGGTACAGCTAACTCCGGGGGGCAACGGGACTTTTAGTCAAAATTAATTCATCACAATTCCATGTTCCAACTAACTTTTCCTGCACCAACTTCAGAGCACTATTTTCATCCACGTGAAGTTCATTATAATTACTTAAATTACTAAAATGCCAGTGCTCAAAATCAATAATTTCATTTACTTAATAGTGGGTATGTCATGTTTGGTACATAGTATAGGATAAGGCCTTATATTATAAGATCTCATAATATAAGACATGATTGTATAAGACTTGATTGAATTTTAATACTATCCAGCGTTTGACACGGTATTGTATAAAATAATATATTGTATAAGATAATATCATTTAGTATTTGGTAATGCACTATATAATACTATATATGATAAAAATAAATATTTTTAATAAAAATATCCTTTAATAAAGAATTTATATAATTCTTCAAAAAATATCATATGATATTAATTTTTATAAAAATTTATTGATCAGTGTGTCCAAAATATAAATTAATTTTTATAAAAATAAAAATATTCAATGTTTTAAAAATTAATATATTGAAAAATTAATTTTTATTTTAATAGATTAATATTAAAATAATCTATTAATTTTTGAATGTTACATTGGAACGATGTTAATACATCAATCTCTTATCAGGCCTTATCCATCACCCTTAGACCGGATTAAGTTATACTTTACTTTGATGTATTAAGGGATTATGCTGTATAAACTTATACTATACTATGGTCACATCAAACAACTGAAAATGTCATAACGTATAGTATAAGCTTATACTATTATGCCTTATAAGTCACATCAAACATGTCCTTAGTTCCATCTACTTGTAATTATACAACATGTCAAATTTAAAATTATTACTATGCAAGTAATATTGTTATTTTTTTAAAGTTGGAGATGATAATTTTTTTTAAGAAAAAAGTGTTTATCATTTTAAATGATATAATTTTATGTTATTTTTAATAAAACTATATTATTTTGATATATTTTCATGATCTCTCTTTTTCATTTTTTCAATTTTATAAAAAAAATATAAAAAATACATCAAAATAATATAATTTCATTAAAAATAACATTTAAAATTACAAACACTTAACTTTTTTTTTTTAAATCTTCACGCTTAAGGAAAAAAATAAACTCTTGTTTATTTTTTTGTTGGCTTCGTAAATGCAATGCCAAATTCGGAAGCTTCAAATTTAAGGGTGGATGTCCCGTTACTCAACATTTGTGCCTTCCCTAGCCAGTTCCTCCACTCTAAAGGCCACTCCTATTTTCTTTCACTTCATTGGAGAGTGGCTGTTATCTCTTCTCTCTCTATCTCTCTCAATTCAATTTTCCCTTCTATCTTCTGGACCAGTCTCTCTGTAACCCTCAGATAGGTTTGATTACTTGGTGATGTTCATGTTCGTGTAAAGATCGCAACTTTATATCTGGGTGGTGAGAAACCGAATTGCCCTCTTATTTGTCTCTACCTTTTCGTAATTAAATATGTATATTTGTAATATAGTTGTTTTATATTTTGGCCATGATTGATTTCGAAATTGGAATAGTTCATTTTTTTATTTTTATTTTTAATAATTGGAAGGTTTATGGGTATGATTTGTGAAGGGAAATGAGAAGAACCGGCTAAGATTGCAAAATTGGTCTTTTTCTTGCTTTGGACTTGGATGTGATGGAGTTCCCTTCCCTCTCTCGTTTCAATGTTTGGAGGGCATCTGCAACTATGCGAGTCTGGACCATTTTCTTGCTCCTAATACTACTGAAGAGTGATGTTGTATATTCGGATTCTGATTTCTTGATTGGTCTTGGAAGCTATGACATTACCGGTCCTGCAGCTGATGTTAACATGATGGGTTATGCTAACACAGAACAAATTGCATCTGGGATTCACTTCAGGCTTCGGGCTCGTGCTTTTATTGTTGCTGAGCCAAATGGTAACCGGGTAGTGTTTGTGAACCTCGATGCTTGCATGACTTCACAGCTTGTGACTATCAAAGTAATTGAGAGGCTGAAAGCAAGGTACCAATAATGGCTAGTCTGCTCTCAAAAAATTACTATGACAATTACTTGCAGAAATTATGATAGATTGACTATAAGGGAGATTTTCTTTAATTTCTGCTCGTAGTGGCTGATGTTTTCATGTAATATATTTAATCTCAAAGCTACGTGCCTGAGGTCATACTTTATTTTGTTTGACAGATATGGTGACCTATATACAGAAAAGAATGTAGCTATTAGTGGAATTCACACTCATGCTGGTCCTGGGGGTTATCTCCAGTATGTCGTCTATATTGTAACTTCTCTTGGATTTGTGCGGCAGTCATTTGATGTTATTGTTGATGGTATTGAGAAAAGCATTGTCCAGGCCCATGAAAGTCTCCGCCCAGGATCAATATTTGTCAAAAAGGGTAAGTAAACTTGGAGCTGCTTCACTGTCCTTTCTCCCTTAGGCACTTTCATAAAGATGCAAGCTCACATGGATAACTTCAATTAGTTTAATGTTATTCATAATAATGGTAGTTCTGTATGCTCTCGAAGCATGCCAGAAAATGATGAAAAACTATATGAAACAAGTTGCTTAGTTTTAGTTTTACATTTTGGGTTCTGTTTCTGTGATGTCTGCATCAAATTATTTATTTATTTATTTTTCATAATCTTTGTTTTAGATATGAAAAGATAAGGAAATTATACATGAGTTGATCTGGTACATGTTCCCCATTATAACCAGATAAATAAAAAAAATGGTGCAACGATCTTGAGTTACACATGATTGATGAGACACTTTTTTTTTTTTTAATGAAGCATCAATTTAATATCCCTCCTTGTCGAGACACCCTGAAAAAGCTAAGACAAGGAAAATGAGTGTAATGAGGTTCATAAATAAGATCCAAAATGAGGTTTGAATAATATGTAAGGTGTGTTGAGTATTCAACAGTGACTACAGCATACAGTTTGTTTGATAAGTTAATGCCAAATAATTTTTAGAAATCTTCAATGAGGCAGATTTGAACTTTTTCTTCTAGGTTGTTTGTGTTTCCTTCTTTTTTCTAGAGACATTGTTAACTGTAATAAAAATTTGGTTATCATTATTTTTGAGCTATCATTTTCAGTAATATACATGTCCCTTACGTGCAGAAAGGGTCTCTTTTATTGCTTTCTAAATTCAGTGTGATTGGTAGCAAGTGCACAAGATGGTAGCCAAATAGTTTGGCTATTATACCAACTTTCTCGCTCCCTTTGGTGATATTACGTGGTTTTAGATCAGTGGTTTTCACTTTTTAACTTGCAGGAGAGCTCTTAAATGCTGGTGTAAATCGCAGTCCTAGTGCTTATCTCAATAATCCAGCTACAGAGAGAAGCAAATATAAGTATGATGTTGATAAGGAAATGACTCTTTTGAAGTTTGTTGATGATGACTGGGGTCCTTTGGGAAGCTTCAATTGGTTTGCTACTCATGGGACTTCAATGAGTCGTACAAACTCATTAATTAGCGGGGATAATAAGGGTGCTGCTGCAAGGTTTATGGAAGACTGGTTTGAGCAAAAAGCCTCTATAAGAATGAGTTCTGTTGGATTTGAAAATGATGGCATCCCCCGAAGAATTTCAAACATAATTCCCAGTGTTCAAGATAATCGTAAGTATTTTGCTTTTGGCCGCAATGCATCCATTGATGAAATTATTAGCTTCTTTCCCATTATTGATTTAAGAGACAAGATAAATATTATCATTGAATAGCTTCAGACTTTGTGGGTTTTTATGCCACATGGATGCATCATTTGAGATGCTACATCATTTTGAAATCCTTGATGCTGCTGTAGTTGATCGGGTAGAAACTGTGTTCTGAAATGCTTTTGCTGATTAACCAGTCATAAATAAATATCATATATGGCTTTTTAGATATTACCTTTTTGTTAATCTAGTTGAAGAACTAAAGGGAACTTTCACCATGTTAGTAACCAAGCATGTGTGTGTGTGTTTTGGGTATTTGACTGCTTAATACTTTTATTATGTTCCTCTCTCGTAGTTGCGATTCTTGCGAATTAGCAAATAGTTGATCCTTAAGCATTTGCTAATACTGATCATCACTTGCGTATATATCCCTAAGCATATATCTGATAATAATAATAATTGATAAATGATTTATATTTCTAGTCTCACTTAAAATTTATTGGTACAGACCATGAATTACTGGAACTTGCTGCCTCATTCCAATCTCCTCCTGGTAAACCAGCAATTAAAACTTCGAGTGTTGCTAGACGTGTGAGAGGTGCCCTTATGCAGGTTGACAAACCTAGATTTGTATCTGCATTTTGTCAATCAAATTGTGGTGATGTTAGTCCAAATGTCCTCGGAGCTTTTTGTACAGACACTGGACTACCTTGTGACTTCAATCATAGCACATGTGGAGGGAAGAATGAATTATGCTATGGCCGAGGACCTGGGTAATTATTTATTGCGTGCTCAACTTTTCTTTAGTTTATGCAAATTTATCTAAACCCTTTTGATTACTAAATTGCCTCCTATAACTGATATGGCAGTTACCCAGATGAATTTGAAAGCACACGTATTATAGGGGAGAGACAATTTAGAAAAGCAGTGGAGCTATTCGATGGAGCATCAGAACAGATTAAAGGGAAGGTTGATTTTCGACACGCCTACATAGATTTCTCCCAGCTTGAGGTGAATATTTCTAAAGTAGGAGCTTCTGAGGTAGCAAAGACATGCCCTGCTGCAATGGGATTTGCATTTGCCGCTGGAACAACAGATGGACCTGGAGCTTTTGATTTTAAGCAAGGTGATGATACGGTAATCACTGATTCTACACCTTACGCCTACCCATTATCCTAGACTTGAAAACTTATATATCTTTCATAGTCAATGCTTATTGTTTTCTCAAATTGTGTGTCAGGGAAATCCTTTCTGGAAGCTGGTTAGGAACTTACTTAAAACTCCAGGCAAGGAACAAGTAGACTGTCACCGCCCAAAGCCCATTTTGCTTGATACTGGTGAAATGAAGCTACCATATGATTGGGCAGTAAGTTTCTCATTTATCCTGAATATCATATGTTATAGTTGCTAGGCTCAATTCAGTTATGTTCTCTATGTTGGCTGATTGGAAAAGGATGGAAGGTTGATGGCATAAAGACTGTTTTCGGCAGATTATTTGCTTTCAGAGCATTGCATAACTCGATTGCTGTTCTTGGCATGCCCACTTTGGTCCTTTAATGAATTCAAACAACCTGATGAAAGATTATTATATACTCTGGTTACATCTCACTGTCTTGTTCTTTCTGGTTTTTTCTTTGGATAGAAATCCTAACGTGCATTCTCCAGTTCTCGTGTCATACATTTTTTTTCAAGACATTTATTTGATATTCTTTTGTGGCAGAAGTTCCATATCTCTGTCCCTATCCGTTTCCGCCAATACAGATATAATTTCTGATAACTTTAACTTATGTAAAGCTTTCTTCCCTCTCGTTTATTTGCAGCCTTCAGTACTTCCAATCCAGATCCTCCGAGTTGGACAGTTTGTTATTCTTGGTGTACCTGGAGGTATGGGCTCTTACTCTTTTTTCCTATAATGATAACATTGTTGAAATTTCCATCATTTGCATTTCAAAACGTGAAGTTTCAACTATCCATGACCTTGGTGGATTGAGAGGTAATATATAAATCCATATTAATAAAAATCAAACATCGCTATTCGCTAGTTGTTGAACATCATTGGGGTTGAGCTTAAAAGAACAAGAATAACATTAGATGTAATTGATATCATATTATTTTGATGATTTGGGTTCTGGCACTACTGGGTGCAATTCAAAGCATGGCTTTATATGTTGCCTTGCTATTATATTATCTGGTTATTGTTCCTTTCCTTGGAAATTCATGATTACTAAGCATGTATTCAAGTGTTTGTGAGACAATCCAATATGGACAATGTATTTATTTGGATGCTTCATGCTTGTTGTAATTGTTTAAATTCTGACAGAATTCACAACTATGGCTGGGAGGCGTCTTCGTGATGCAGTGAAGACAGTGCTAAGTGGTGACAAAAGCTTCGGTAACAACATTCATGTTGTTATAGCAGGTCTGACTAATACTTATTCACAATATGTGACTACATACGAAGAGTACCAGGTGCAAAGATATGAGGTCAGTTGTAACTCTTATGGAAAGTGACACGACATACAGCAAACCTATTTTAGATAGCTATAGCAAGATCAAATGCAACATTAGTGGAAGTTTATTTTTAGGGATGCTAATTTTTATTATCAAATAATATAACTGCAAGAGATAAATGGAGGCCTAGAAGGACTGGCAGACTTTTCTAGTATGATAGAAAATTTGTTCCTGTACATATGTCTACTACTGTCTCTCGTAGCTCTTTATGCTTAGATCATTGTGCATACTTGTTTCTGCATATAAACATTATATGCAATTTCATTACTTTAATTTTCATGTTGCCAGGGTGCTTCCACGCTGTATGGTCCCCACACACTGAGTGCATACATTCAGGAGTTTAAGAAGCTTGCCAAAGCTCTCATTGGTGGCCAGTCTGTTGAACCAGGACCTCAACCCCCTGACCTTATGAATAAGCAAATAAGCATGCTAACACCAGTTGTGATGGATGCAACTCCTCTTGGTGTAAATTTTGGGGATTGTAACTCTGATGTACCCAAGAACTCCACCTTTAAGAGAGGTGACATGGTGTCAATTACTTTCTGGTCTGGTTGCCCTCGTAATGACCTTATGACTGAAGGTACATTTTCCCTGGTCGAATTTCTCCAAGGAAAGGATACTTGGGTTCCTGCTTATGATGATGATGATTTCTGCCTGCGCTTCAAGTGGTCAAGGCCTTTCAAACTGAGTACTCACAGTAAAGCCACCATAGAATGGAGGATCCCACAGGATGTAACTCCTGGTGTATACAGAATAAAACATTTTGGGGCTTCAAAGGGCTTATTGGGATCAATTCGTCACTTTACTGGTTCATCTAGTGCATTTTTAGTAGCACAGTAAAGGGGGGCATACTGATTATACATGTTTAATAGCCTGATATCTATTACTATATTTGCGATTTGTTGTGCTGAACTCTAGCAGAATACATTAAATTAAGGATGATTGCACTATATATATATATTCTCTGTTATCTGCTATTCTTTATCTCCTTTCCCACAAATTCCCTACACCTAACCAATTTCAATATATTTTTCTTTGGAGGCAACATTCCAGTTTTAGGAACAATTAATCAGAGTAGTTAAATAAGTTATTTATGCTTAACAATTACTCTTTAATTGTTGTTAACTACTACCGTCAATTGTTACATACATGAAAAACATGTTAAGGAAGTCTTAAACTTTGGTTAGGGGGAAGGTTTCTTAGTCGCAATACTGCTGGAGGTTATCATGATTAAAGTAACTGTTAAGCAAAAAATTTCGTATAATATCCAATCAGTTTTTTTTTCCCTTAAAAATAAATCATAGGTATCTAGAGGCAATTTTGTTTGAGTAGGGAATATCCTAATTTTCAAATAGCAATTCTGCTTATTTTTAAGGTAAGCCAAAAAAATATCTTTGAATCGTTTTTTATTTTGTTGGTAATCTGTAGGGGTAATAACAACCCCACATTGAATTGTGTTTTTTATTGAGTAAATGAAATGAAATTTGTTAATTTTATTCGAGAAAATCAAACTCGATTTATTTATCAAATGATACTATGATAGGGATTGAGCTTAAAATTTGGAAAAAAATAAAATAATAATAATAAAAAAATTACAAAAAAATAAAATAAAATAAAATGAAATACGACGACGTTTATCAAGAGACGGTTTTCTACAGAAGCAACACTGAATCGCGTTTTCCCCGTGGAAGAAAGCAACGAGTAACATTCACGTCAGTCTCAAATTCCTGCTCTGAGACCCTGAATTTAGACAGAGAGAGAAGAAGAAGAAGAAGAAGAAGTAGTAGTAGTAGAAGCAGTAGATTGTAGAAATGTCAGTGCAAGAATACCTGGATAAGCACATGCTTTCCCGAAAACTCGAAGATGCCGTCAATGCCGCCGTTAGGGCCAAGACCTCCGATCCCGTTCTCTTCATCGTATTTTCCCCCTCTCACTCTCTATCCCTTCCTCTTCCAATTATCCCTTTGGTTATCGAAATTTCTTACCATTTTTTGATGTTTTTGTGGTGAGCACAGTCCAATCACATGAGAAAAGCAGTGCAATCAGTGATCACGAGAATCAAGGCGAGGCAGATCCTCGATAGCAGAGGGATTCCAACTGTAGAAGTAGACTTATACACTAACAAAGGCATGTTCCGTGCTTCTGTTCCCAGCGGCAACTCCTCTGGCATGTAAGCCTTCGCCGTTTACTTCTTTGAATTAGATTGACATCAACAATATGGGTTAATAATTCATTGCAGGTACGAGGCTGTTGAGTTACGGGACGGGGACAAAGGTGTATATCTTGGAAATGGTGTTGCTAAAGCTGTTAAAAATATCAATGAAAAAATATCGGAGGCACTGATTGGTATGGATCCAACGCTTCAGTCTCAGATTGATCAGGCCATGATAGACCTGGACAAAACAGAGAAGAAGGTATTTGAACGTCTTTCTTCTGTGAATACAAGTATTTGCTTGTACTTGTAAAAACCATACTACATGTTGTTATTTCAATTCTTCGATTATTTTTCATTTTAGAATGAATATGGCTACTGATTGGGAAAAAGTACTATGGACTATCAAAGGTTGAATAATATTGTGAACAGATACTAATAATGACATGCATATTTGAATAGTTCATCTTGAAAGACAGTTCTCTCAATTTCTGTAAGAATTAATGTATTTTATATCTTGTTTTGTTTCTCATTTTGTTTGCAGGGGGAACTTGGAGTCAATGCTATATTAGCTGTGTCCATTGCTGCTTGTAAAGCTGGGGCTGCTGAAAAGGAGGCATGTCTCTTTGTGAATTAATATTTTTATAAGTTCATTTAACTTTTTATCTGGAAAATAAGTATATTTGGTCTGTCAAGTTATCATGAAAATAAAAATATAAAAAAATATCAGGTTCCACTTTATAAGCACATTGCTGACCTGTCTGGAAAAGTCAATCCAATCCTTCCTGTTCCTGCCTTTACTGTTATAAGTGGTGGAAAGCATGCTGGGAATAATCTGGCCATTCAGGTATAGTTTCTGTTGTATAATTTCTCAGACACTCGCATTAGTGTTTCAGTAGTCTTTACCTCTATTAGGGTTGGATTCCTTTACTCTAAATAATCTTATGGACATTGAAGTTAGAATTCTAAATGGACATGGAAATATTTATGATGCCGAAAGCGCATAGAAAAGTGGTTAAACAGAAAGTTGGGATTTTCTCAAAAGAGTAAACCTCCGGTTCTCAATTTCTATTAACAAAATAACAAAATTCAACTCCTAGAATAAGAGTCATAAGCACTCTTTTATAGACTAATTACAAATTGATTCAAAATTCTAAATCTAAAATTCTAAAAATAATAAAACTTCCTAAAATAAATATAATAGTAATTAACATCTAAAAATAAATAAAAAGTTACAAATAAATAATTCAAAACACATCCCAAGTCTTTAATCTCAAATCACGCCAAATATGTTGCTTTCCTTTTCTTCCCAAACAAATCACAATCACATCTGCTGCTTTACTGAGACTTGGATTCGATTGTAATTTGTTATATTTCAAATCATTTCTTCTTTCAGCAATTGGGCCATACTTATTAGGCCACAATTCTAGTTGACTACGAGTTTCTTGAATCAATGGTTGGGCCATGTACAATGGGCCAACTATAAGTGCATCAATTTACATTATATGTTAAATTATTTGTAAAATAACTTGGCACTCATATATTTTATTTGTTTAAATCAAAATCTATTCAATTATTTTCTGTTTAAATTTGGCAATTGGATTGTTGTGATTTATTCTGTTCTTTATCTTACCCTCATAACATCAATAGATATAGTTTCTCTTAATCAATACATTTCCGTGTTCTCTCTGCTGCTTTATAAAATTTAAATTCTTTCCAACGTTAAAGTTTTCTTACACAATTCCTATCAGGAAATCATGGTTCTCCCAACTGGAGCAACCAGATTTGAAGAAGCACTGCGAATGGGCTCTGAGACCTATCATCACTTAAAGGTGATTTCGCTTTCTTTTCATTTATTTTTTTAACACATTCCTATTGATTTCACTTTCTATGTTTAGAGATTTTTTCTCATAATCTCACTCATTGTTATGTTCCCAAGTCAGAAACATATCTAGTTTTAGTTGCATTGTTGTTTAGCTGTCTTACAATGATTAGATCCTATGCTATTACTACTATTGTCTTTTCTTTTGTTGCTGCTTACAGTTCCTACAGCCTTGATATTTGGTTTTAATTGATTCAGCAGCTTAGTTTGTTGTTTCTCAGCTCATATATATGAATTTTTCATCAGTGATGGATTAAAGGATCCTAATAGCTACTTGCAAGTTTCATTTTAAGCTGATACAATTATTTGTATTGTTGATGATAAAAGGGCAGGCTGTTATAACAGAAAAGTCTGGTGCTCATGATTGTAATGTTGGTGAAGATGGTGGCTTTGCTCCTAATGTCTCCAGGCAAGCTTTTTATGTTTTAGGCTTATTGGATTTCTACAACTTCTGAAAATCCTTCACCATTAAATAAATAATATAAAAAAGAAAAAAAAAGTTGATTGTAGAAGAAAGGAAAGAAAAACCAAAATATCTCCAAAACTGCTCTATTCAGTATTATCTAATATAATGACCGTCACACACATGAATGAAGCTGGTTGATCATCTAAGTACTGATTTTGTTATTGTAATTTCTTTCCCTGTCTAATTTGTCAGATATATAATATGTCTGGCCCTTAAAAATTTATGATAAACATGTAAAATCAAAAATTTCATTTGTATTTTTCCTCTTGATCAAACCAATCTATGTTTGAGTTAACATACTGAACTGCTGCATGTTATAATTACAATGTTTTGTTCTACATAATAAATGTTGTTATTCAGCCTAATCTCTACATGCATCTGTTCTTTTAAGGTTTAGGGTTTAGAGTTTTGACTCAAAGATAAACTTGCTTTATCTTTGAGTCAACATACCGAACCACTGGATGTTATAATTACAATGTTTTGTTCTACACAATGAATGTTGTTAGTTTGACCTAATCTCTACATGCATCTGTTCTTTTTGATTAATAAAATGGTATTATTTTTTTGCACTCGCTTATTATTTATATTATTCAAAACACATTATCTAAAATTTTAAGCAACTATAGTTTTTAATTTCAAAGTATTATAATTTTTATATAAAATCATGTAGTTTTTATGAAATTCATGCATAGGCAATGTTGTAATGCTTTGTATTTCACCTATCTAAAATGATCACTTTAGAGGTGTTTTGATTTTTTCTACATTTTAGCTGACTTTATTTAAGTATCATCAGCTTTAGAGAAGCCCTGGATCTTGTAAAGGAGGCCATTAGCAGAACTGGTTATAGTGAGAAAATAAAGATAGCACTTGATGTTGCTGCTACAAATTTTTGCATAGGTAATTATAATTTTCTGTCTCATGTGCTATTAGATTCTTGAGATGGATCAGGGTGATACTTGCGTACTCTAATACTGCTTATTGCTATTATAATGAGAGACTGTGTTGTAACAGTGCTATGTTAACTGTTTTACGGAATCTTATACAAAAAATAAATGAAGTTTCTTTTACTTTAATGTTATAGCAAAATAAACTTAGTCTTGGTCAGAGTTGTAAAAATAACAATCTTATTTGTTAATAGTTCTTAAATAAGGCTATAAATACCATTGAGCATCACTTGTGGTGATATCTCATCTCTCCGTATCTTTACATTCCATTTAGGAATGTCATTACACCTTGGTTTCTGAATGTGGTTATATTTGTCTGACCTGGTAAATGGTAACCACCTCTTTTTTATACAAGGTAAACACTTTTTAACCTAGATTTATTTTGTGTTTGCATTAGAGAGAAAATGATGGGACCCAAAATGATATCACTGAAATTATAGAAACAATGGAGGCATAGCCTCTTTTTACAAACACTAATGCAATAATAAAACTCCAAAAGACCTCAACTCACCCTTAAAGCCAACAAACCTAGGCTTCAAGAGATCCCTCGATATCCCCAAATTTCCATCTAAACCAATACTGAATTCATGCCTACCTCACTACACACACACACACACTTTCCTAGCAAACTAACTAATCATCTTAAGTCTATCAATACTCCCTTCCAAAATTCACCTTGTCCTCAAGGTGAAGAGAGGATAGGTAACGTGAGAGAAACCTCCACCCGGGTCCTATTGTTTGAAGTGTAATGGCCCCAGTGGCAGCTTCAGTTCTTGTGCCATATGAAATGTCCCCAAGATGAAGAGGTCTTGCACAACGGGTATACTTGGTAGTGACAGAAGCACTTCGTGATAAATTCTTTTGCATTGAATCCTGTAGCCAACTTCAACTTCCACCGGATAATTCTTTGTTTCATCCACTCTGAGCTTCAAGTTTGCAGCAATACGCTCCACCATTAGACTATGTGAAGTACATATGCCTATTAATGTTGTTACACGTCGCCCCTGAATCTTGCCCCACTATCTGACCGATCTGCTAGACGTGTGTCCCACCATACTGTGCAGGCTAAATTGAAGAGATTCCCCTTCGACAACTCCATCCCTTCCCCCTATCACTATTTCTTCATCAGCAATTGGCTCACTCACTCCTATCAACATGACATGCAAGCTTGGGTTCTGACATATGTGGATTGGCGAAATTGGTGCATCACCATGAAAGCATAATCCCTTCGTCTTTTATTGTCGGCTCCTCTGGCGATAGCCACTGAAATCTCGCTCCTCCGTTCCCTGCATTAGAACTTTGATTGTTCATTGAGGTACCCTTATCGCTAGACCTTACTCATTGAGATGAAAGCCCTTTAGAATTCCCATTAGCCAAATTTCTAGACCCATCTCTTGCTTGGGTTGCATTCCTTGGGCCGAAACCTCCCGGCCCATTTTGTGCAATTATTTTACCCATGTTGGGCCACGATTCAGCAACAGAACTAGCCCTATTGATTAAAGTTGGGTTGGGTGGTTATTATTATACCCACCTGTCAAACCCGCTCCATCCACTTCGCTCCCCATTAACTCGCTCCACATGCGATTAGTTCCTCTTTCTTCAACCATTTGGCCTAGGGTCATCACACGACCCAAAGCAGCCATGGAAACAGCCATAAACGCCACTGGTTTTTTGCTACCGTTGCTCTTGTACTATTTCTTCTTTTTTTGTTTCTTTTTCTTCTACTTCTTGTGCGATTTCTTCTGCACCTTCTAGTTCTACTGCTGCATCATCTTCTTCTTCCTTTTCTTTCTTTTTACCATCTACTGTTTTGGCTTCATCTTTCTCTTCTTCTTCTCATTCTTCTTTTGCTGTGCTTCCATCTTCTTCGTTTCATTCTTCTACTGCTGCTGCGTTTTCGTTCTTTTCTTCAATTTTTTTAACGCTCTGCGACTTCATCTTCTCATATTCAAGTCTCTATGTTTCCATCCTCTCGATTGCTTCATTGAAAGCCTTCACCACTTTTAATAGCATTTCTCTGAGCTCAGAAAAATAAAAATAAATTTGGACCAGAAGCACTCCCGGGATTGTGGTGCTTTGATACCAAATTGATGGAACCCAAAATGATAACACTGAAATTATAAAAACAATGGAGGCATAGCCTCTTTTTACAAACACTAATGCAATAATAAAACTCCAAAAGACCTCAACTCACCCTCAAAGCCAACAAACCTAGGCTTCAAGAGATCCCTACAGATCCCCAAATTCTCCACTAATACTGAATTCATGCCTACCTCACTACACACACTCATTCACTCTCCTTCTATTCCCTCTTCTAAGAATATTCTAGAAACTTTCCTAACAAACTAACTAATTATCTTAAGCTTGTAAGAAAATAAGGATTGGAAGAGTAGGAGTTAGACAGAGTGTAAAAGGGCTGTAGGATGAAGCACAATGTGTAATGATTATGAATTTTAATCTCTTCAGTTTGTTATCGACTTACTATTATGCTTTATCATTGATATTATGCTTGAGGGGGTAATTTATATGGAAAATTAATGCATAATAGTAAAAATATTTCACTGTTTTCTTCTTTTTCTAATGCTAACACCTTTCTTCTGAGACACCTCTCACCTCAAGTTGTTAAAACCCCCTAGAACTTTTTGGGAACCTTTTCCCTTTCAGACCACCTTTAACCAGTTTATGCTATTGTGCATATGCTTTTTCCCTGATATAGGTAAAAGATACGATCTGGACTTTCAATCTCCTGTAAAGCCAGTACAGAATTTTAAGTCGGCAGAGGATATGATAGAGTTGTACAAGGAACTATGTACTGGTAAATCAGTTTATCTTTCTCTTTTCCTAGTGTGGATTTTATAATTATTTAGGCTATACTTCATGTTTATTTTCAATCTCTCTTTCTGAATTTGTAGATTACCCAGTTGTATCAATAGAAGATCCTTTTGACAAGGAAGATTGGGAACATATCAAGTATTTCTCAAGTCTTGGAATTTGTCAGGTATTATTTCTTAAGTAATTAATGTTTTGTTTGAGTTAATGTGACAATCTCTGCTGTAATTGAGTTGTGCAGCCAAATATTGATGCTTATGGATTAGGCCTTTACCATTTTGGATATTACAAAATAATTTTTAATGAAAAATTATAAAAAGCGTATTTTTAATGAAAATTAATAACTGATTGTTAGTGTATCAATACCACATTGACTCATTAGCAGGTCATGTGAGAAAGGGAAACAAAAAAAGATGCAATACAAAATCTTTTTGTCATATTGCGGTTGAGCATTAGAGAGGTCATTCACATGTTACCACTTAGTTGTTTGGTTGATCTATTGGCTACTGATTGAAACTTCATTTTATATAGTTTCCCTTCACTTGAATGGTTCTGCAGGTAGTTGGGGATGATCTTTTGATGTCAAATGCAAAACGCATTGAGAGAGCAATAGCTGAGTCTGCTTGTAATGCTCTTCTTCTTAAGGTAACTGACTATTATTTTAGTGAACTTTCAAGGGGTTGCTTTGTCTAATGACAAATTTAATCTTATCTCTGAATTTGTTTGAACTTCAAGAGGTTTTTTGTTTTTTAATGATAAATGCTATATCTAATTGTTCATGGACTGGAAGCAATCCTGTTTCATGATTAAGTTGAGGCATTGGATATACAGAGATTTTAGAAAAGGCCGCTTTTTTGTGCAAACATAAGATCGTAAATTACAAAGCTAGTTTATATAAAGGAGAAAGAAATTTAAACATAGCTTGCTTGTAGTTTAGTTTTGCGATTTGTGTTCTAGCTTCATTTCTTTTTTAATTTGGGAGGGTATTAACCCTTTTCTTGAAGAAAAGACACAAAAATATGATGATTTCCCATTGTAATCTAGGTCAACCAAGTTGGGACAGTTACCGAGGTCATTGAAGTGGTGAAGCAAGCAAAGGAAGCACATTGGGGGGTGGTAACATCTCATAGAAGTGGGGAAACTATAGACTCTTTTATAGCTGATTTATCTGTTGGCCTTGCTGCTGGTCAGATTAAAGCAGGAGCTCCTTGCAGAGGAGAGCGGCTAGAAAAGTACAACCAGGTCTCTTTCTGATTGCCTCCATCTGCTCCTTTTTGTTTCTGTTGCTCATTGAACTATTATATGCTGCATTCTATAATTTTTTTTTTTTAAATCTTTATGCAAATTTGTCGTGTTTTAACATAAAATTTTATCTTTGTATCTAATATAATTTTTTATTGACGTACCCTTAACTTAGATTTTTAAAAACGTCATATCCTGTACCCATATCCGTAGCAGGCACCAATACCATACCCATATCCATGCAACGTAGTTTGTGAACTATGTAGACAAAATTCAGACCTTTGGGAATTGCTTATTATCATCATCTTAAGGTGTTTCTCTTGAAGGGATTTGAGAGGGGTTTTCATATTTTCTTCTGGCTTCTTATAAACGTATTTTTCTAGGATAACTTGCAATGCCGCACTGTCTCTGTTCCTTTTTCAGTTTAAATTATTTTCATGCGAGCTAAAGATTGGATATTGCAATGTATGCACACTTGGCAAACACAACTGAGTCCGTGTTAAAGTATTTTACGTGGAGATTTCATTACTAGCTGAGTCTCATGTGGGAGTGAAGTTAATGTTTGCCGTCGGGTGTATATATTCTTGTTTGTCATGGCATGGTAAAGTGGAACAAAGGAAAAGCATAGTAGTTATGATCTGATATTTGGTGCAGTTACTTCGGATTGAGGAGGAGCTTGGAGATCAAGCAGTTTATGCTGGTGAAGATTGGAGGCAATAAGAACGAACAATTTCTTCAGATTGATTTTTGAGATATGCTCTTCTTTTTTCAAGTTCGTGAGGTTGAAGTTCATTACTGTACGATATATATCAGCTTCTGATGTACTTTAGCCCTCCCTAAAGTGCTCTCTAATCATATGAAAGACACTAAAACTCGAATTAGATTAAGTACACTATTAACTGTCACAAGTAAAGCACTATGTATCAATTTTGTTTTGTTGTAATCATCCAAAAATGATCTTGAACGCATTGGGATTGACACATCACTTTGACGTGGATTTTTTCATGTTGACATATTTTTTCTTCATCCAATCAAACCTCCCCACTAGCTAGTTTGATCGTTTGTTAATAAATTAAGGTTAAATTATTTATATAACTCTTATTTGTGAATTACTCTTGTACTTTTACTCTTTATTGAAGGATATTTCTCTTCTGAAGACCTGAGGAGAGAAAGTTGGTACAAAGATTGAGCACCTATTTGAAATCTATCTTGAAAAATAGTTTTTTGATTTTCAGAAGAAAAAAAAAAACTCGATTGATAAGATTTATTTTGTAAAAAAAAATTAAAAATTATAATTTTTTTTAGAATCAAATTTAAAGAATATGTCTAACTTATTTTTGTTTTGTGTTTTGAATTTTGATTTTTAAAATAAAAAAAATAAAAATACCCGTTTCATTAACTATTCTAGAAAATAGTTTTAAGAAAAATTCACAACATAATCAAGCAGATATTGAAATGCTCAAACATTGGTTTGTATTCATAAATTTGGGTGCACTTCCGTCCCTCAAACTCCATTCCTAATAGAGTTTTGTTTGTTGTTTTGCAGTTGATTAAACGGTGTCACATGTTTATAAATCAGAGTCGTTGATTTTTTTTATCTAATGATTCTCAGATGAACGAGGTGTCAAAGGATTCTATTTTATATATATAAAAGAACAAATTATCTCATCTAGAATCCTAATCCTTTATGTACTCTCATAGAACAAAGTATCGCATTGATATGACTTTTTTTAATACAACTAGTATATTACCCGTGCGATGCACGAGAAAAAAAGATCAAAATTTTTGTCGTCCGCCGTTGTTGGTTAATTGCACTGCAAACCTTATATTTACAAAAAACTGTGTTGTTATTTTGTTCTATATTTCAGGTGAAAAAATTACAGCATTGACACAGAGCTTTGCAAATATCAACCACAAACAAAAATCTGTTATTCAGAGGGATAATTAATTTTGCATACAACTACATCATAATACACAATAATATGTTATAATACACCATGTTAACATGAGAAATGGATATAAAAAGAAAAATGCGTACAAATCATTGCTAACTATAACATTCATCAACAAAATCGAGGTAACAATAACACCAAGCAAATATGGATTTAAAATATCAGCTTTTACCTATAATATGAAAACGCTATTCATTCAGTGTCATTTATTAGCAATCATTGGAGGGATGAGTTCAACACTTACTAAATATGTCATTTCTTGTGTGATTTTCGTTCCTTGTGCCTACGATACATAAGGCAAAAAATCATTAAATAAGTAACACTAATATGTTAACACCCAAAAGGCATAGTATCAGCAAAAAAAAGATTGGATTAAATTTTTTTAAGGAAAAAAAAATGTTGTCTGAACGGAATTTGAATGCAACTTAATCAAATAAGCATGTATAAGTCATATTTTTTGCTTACATTGCAACAAATGCATATGAACAAAATAATAGCAACTACACTAATATTTGAGATAGACTTTCATTTATTGCAATCACATTTAAAAAATAATAATAAATAATTATTATTTGCAAGGATTTGTGTCGTTAGTATTTGGAATTTTACAAATTTGTATTTACAAAAGTAAAAATCAGATTTAGGAATTTAATTATAAAAGAAGAAGGATGAAATTTTAATTTAATTATAAAAATGTGTTTGTGGGTCGGCCCTCGGGCCGAGTCTAGTTGGCCACCTCTAACTATCAACATGTAAAAGATTTTTATATTTATCCACAAAAAAAGATTTTTATAGTTGCGTCTAGGTTTTTATATTTTATCTCAGAGATGAACTTTCATTTACTACAATCAGATTTATAAAATAATAATAAATAATTATTTTTTTGCAAGAATTTATGTCGTTAGTCTTTCAAATTTCACAAATTTATATTTACAAAAATTGAAATCAAATTTAGTAATTTAATTATAAAAGAAGAAAGATAAAATTTTAGTTGAATTATAAAAATATAATAGCGGGCCGGCCCTCCGGGCCAAGCCTAGTTTTTCACCTCTAACTGTCAGCATTTTATATAAATAATTTTTTTTGCAAGAATTAGTGTCGTTAGTCTTTGAAATTTCACAAATTTGTATTTACAAAAATTGAAATCAGATTTAGTAATTTAATTATAAAAAAAGAAGGATATAATTTCGGTTGAATTATAAAAATATATTAGCGGGCCGGCCCTCCGGACCGAGCCCAGTTTTTCACCTCTAACTGTCAGCATTTTATATAAATAATTTTTTTTTTCAAGGATTAGTGTCGTTAGTCTTTGGAATTTCACAAATTTGTATTTACAAAAATTTAAATCAGATTTAGTAATTTAATTATTAAAGAAGAAAAATAAAATTTTAATTGAATTATAAAAATATATTGGCGGGCCAGCCCTCCAGGCCGAGCCCAGTTTTTCACCTCTAACTGTCAGCATTTTATATAAATAATTATTTTTTGCAAGTATTCGTGTTAATTACACTCTAGCAATAAAAAAATGAAAGTTTAATTTCTTTCTTATGTACTAAAGTAAATTTTTTATTTTTATAGTTCTTAAATTTTAATAATTTTTTTTATAGAATGACAGACGTCATTTTTTATTTAAATATAAAATTTAAAACTTTTTATATTAATTATACATATTTTTTATATAATTTTTTTCTATTTTAATTTATGATTTTTATATATTTTTTTAATTGGTTATACATGTATATTTAAAATTTTTATGTTAAATATTTTTTTAAAAAATACATGTATATTATTTTAATTGGTTATACATGTATATTTAAAATTTTAATTTTTTTTTAGAAAAATATAAATTATGCCATTTCTTATTTTTTCTTTTAAATTTGAAATTTTAAATAATTTTTATCGACTATAAATGTATTTTTTTAATTTTAAATATTTTATTGTTTAATCTGTAATTTTTTATTAAATTCGAATTTATTATATATATCTTTTTTCACTGCATAAATATTAAATGCTGAACTCTTTTCCCATATATCAAGTTCACATAATTTTTCATTTAATAATTTATGAATTTTGAATTTATTTTACAATATAATTTTTTTTGTTATTTTACAATTTTTTTAATGTTTTTGTTTTTTTATGCAGCATTAATAGGACTAACAATTATCCATGCAAAAAATAGTGCGATATACAACAAAAGAAAATTAGAATTCTTTTTACTCATAATATACAACAAAAGAAAAGTAGTAGGACATTAAATGAGTTGTCTGCCACACAAAATTTTCTAAAAGTTTTCCCATCATTACAAAGTTAAAAATTCAAATCCAAAATTCAAATTTAAACATAAATTTAAAATTTAGAAGAGTTGAAATCCAAAATTTGAAATCAATTCAGAATTCGAATTTCAAAAGAGTGAGCAATTCCAATGCAGAAAGCATTTAAAAGAGCTGAGTAATTCCAATGTACAAATCAGTGGGACATTGAATGAGTTGTCTGCCACCATAAATGATTAACTTAATTTTTCATTGATTTTTTATTTCAATTTTTAAAAGAAATTATTATTTATTTAATTTTTTATTTTCAAATCTTTTCCCACCATTACAATTTAAAATTTAAAATTGAAATCCAAAATTTGAAATCAATTCAGAATTCGAATTTCAAAAGAGTGAGCAATTCCAATGTAGAAAGCATTTAAAAGAGCTGAGTAATTCCAATGTACAAATAAGCGGGACATTGAATGAGTCGTCTACCACCATAAATGACTAACTTAGTTTTCTATTGATTTTTTATTTCAATTTTTAAAAGAAATTATTATTTATTTAATTTTTTATTTCCAAATCCTTTCCCAACATTATAACTTGAAATTTAAAATTGAAATTTAAAATTTGAAATCAATTCAGAATTCGAATTTCAAAAGAGTGAGGAAATACACAGAAGAATTAACATTAAAAATCTTGTTCCTCTATGATTTCAACTTTCAAGGAATGAGAAGAAAATCGAAATAGAGAGTAAATGCGCATTTTCCCTTTCATTTCATTTGATAGCGGCTATCTCCTAATAACTTTTGGGAAGAACACTATCTTAGTGTGTGTGTGCATATATATATATATATATATATATATATATATATATATATATATATTCTATTAATTAATATGATAAATATTATTATTAATAAGTCAAGTTTTTTTTTTTTGTAAATATTAATAAGTCAAGTTAGGCTATATACGTATACATTTGGTCTTAGCCAATTTCTCTATCGCTTTTTTATTTTTCGTATCCTTTTCAAATTTTGAGCGAAATATTTTGAATTATCTCTTCGGCTTTTGCACAATAATCCCCTATTTCTATTTTCATATTAATTGTTATCTTTTCATTGCTATCTTCATTCATTCATTAACATCATTCATTCATGCAATTATTACAATACGCATACTTCCTTCCATGCGTTGTTTAGTGCGTGTGCTTATAATAAATAGATTATATTTTCCATAGAAATAATGGTATCGTAAACTTCACGGAATTATTACATTATCTTTTATTTTTATTTTGTAGAAAAATTAAAAGATGGTCTTTCAATTTACGATTGAGAAAATAGTGGGAGTTACTAATGCAAGTTGATCATGAAAACGGTATACTTCAAATCTATGATTTATTACTGATATCATTATATTTTATGAGAATCTAAATAGTTTTTAAGTAAATTATGCATTTTATAAATTTTTAGTCTAAATATTTATAGGCTTTAATGTGTCTAAAGTGAATGTAGATAAGTTATCTACATTCGCTCCCAAAACGACATCATTTTGAGTTGAAAAATTAAAAAATTATAATGAAAATGACTATTATAACCCTAAAATAAATTACAATTACAAAAATACCTTGATTTTTGCCTCAAAATGACGTCATTTTGGACTCACTGTAGATAAGTTATCTACATTGATTGTAGAAAAAGTGAACCCATATTTATATGTGCTAATAGAGGGAAATTTTTAAAAGTAGAAAAATTATTCCATGATTATTTATAGAAATTTCAATTCAAGGTGGCCTTCTTTTTCATCAAGCAAATGTCAAATCAGCTATGATCAA